CAAACTCTTGACACATGTAATATCTCTTACTCATGTAATTTGAGATCCTCATTTTTGTCGACCAACTATGGAAGCTTTTACTCAAAAGGGTGATTTTGGCTTAGTGAATATCGCCTATTCTAGTGTTTATCAGTGGTGATATACAATTGATTTTATGCACAAATGTAGACCTTTATAGTGAATCTTTTTCTATTAATTTTTTCTCTCATATTCTTAATAATTAATTTGTTACATCTACAACCGAAACAAAAATTGAGTGTTCCATTTTGCTTTAGCAATGATAGGCACATCTAGGACCAAAGAGGCAAAATTTTTATATTTGAGGAACTATTTTAGCTGATTTTGAATGTGAGGGACTAAATTTTTTTTTTAAAAAATCAGGGACTAAATTGATAACTTTCTCTTATATTTTTAGTATCAAAACGCTGATAAAAAAATCAATAGGGTGACTTGAAAAATTAACATATTCAATTTGACCAAAAGAGTCAAAGTCATCTAAAACAAGGTGCAAATGAACAATCAACATAAGTATAATTTGGGCATATGAACACAATAAAGCTTTTTTTGGTTTAATGAACACAATAAAGCTGCGAACCACAGTAGTTCCACTGCCCAAAATTTGCTTTTATCAGATTCTTAATAGAATGGCCAGTGCCCATGTTCCATCAGCGGGCGGCAAAGCGAGAGGGTTTTCCTTTTCGTGTCTCTATTGGTTGTTGCCAACGGCAAAATAGATTGAGTCAAGAAGCCACAATCAGGGAAGGCTATTGGATTCTGATATACTTGATAAACCATTAGGTTTGAAGGCTTATTTTTTTTTTTTACTTCTAGAACTTTCTGTTCTCTAGGGATGAAAGATGGGATACAAGAAATTAGTAATTTAAGCCTAAAACAATAGTAAAAAAGATTCTTATTTCTTGCGTTTGATTATTGATTAAAAACATATTTCTTGTTGCTTTAGCCTTCAAAAATTATTCAAAGACCATATGTAGGAGGCCTAGAAGAGGGAAGGAAGAACAATTCAATCCCAAAACATGGTTTTGTCTAGTACTTTCCTCGGCAAGGACTTGAAAATTCAGCTGCCAAACCTTCCAAACTTCAGACAGCCAAAGACCAGTAGCATCCCAATATAGTTTCAAATCGATGGGAACTTGCCAAACACAAGAGAAAATCTTTACAAATAATTCATTGAATCTAGCTGACAAAAATTATACAAATCAAACCTTGATTACCAATAAATCTATTTTTGGCTCAACATCCAATTGGGTAATTAACGTAATAGTCCACACGGAAGAAAAAGAACACGAGTGGTGTTTTTGACCATTGACTTGGATCCATTCTGTAGTTTGACTGAATTGAAAAAATATATATATAAATATATATATATAAACCTTATTAATAACAAGTCAAGTTTTCAGACTAATGTAGGGGAAAAATGGTGCATTACCATCATCTTCTTCCAATCTTTCTAGCAATTTTCTTTCCTTTTATTTCAACAATTTTCTCCGACTTAGCCGCCGATAGAGCCGCCCTTCTCCGCCTTAGGTCCTCCACCCGTGGGCGGACACTAAGGTGGAACGCCACTAGTCCTAGTCCATGCAGATGGGAAGGTGTTACATGCAACACCGCTATCAACCGTGTCGTCTCCCTTCGCCTCCCCGGGGGTGGTCTTGTCGGTCGGATACCGGAGAATACTATTGGAAGCTTGACTGAGCTACGGAACCTCAGTCTCCGCCGTAACGCCCTGTCAGGGCCAATCCCTTCTGACTTGGGCTCATGTACAGAGTTGCAGTATCTTTATTTGCAGGAAAACCGATTTTCAGGTGATATTCCAGATGGCTTATTCGGATTGACCAATCTTTCACGTATAAATCTTGCTAGGAACAACTTTTCTGGCGATATTTCGGCGAATTTCAACAGTTTGACCAATTTAAGGGCTTTGAACTTGGAAAATAACCGATTCAGTGGCTCACTTCCTGAGTTAAATAGCTTATCTAATCTAAGGGATGTTAATGTTTCATTCAATAACTTAAGTGGTCCAATTCCTTCTCGTTTAAAGGGATTTTCTTCCGGATCTTTTTTGGGGACTTTGCTGTGTGATGGACCTTTGCCGTCATGTCCTAATCATGGAGGAAGCAAACTGTCTGGTGGTGCCATAGCTGGGATAGTTGTTGGATCAGTTTTCGGGTTGTTTTTGGCTCTGTTAATTATCTTTATTTTATGGAGAAAATGCAGAAACAGAGAAGTCTCCGGGCAGAATGAGCGGTCACCAATACCACCTTCACCAGTGAAGCCACCAGAATATGATTTTACAAGTCCTAGGCCTTATATACCCAGAGAAGATCACGGGTCGAGTAACGGGTTCTCGGGTCGGATCGTGGTGAATGAGATTCCGGGAAGGGCAACTCGGAATGTTGAGAATGGTGACGGTGGATTGGTCTTTGTTGGGGATAGTGCTCAAATGTTCAGCTTGGATGAATTGTTGAGAGCTTCAGCTGAGGTTTTGGGAAAGGGGATTGTTGGGACTACTTACAAGGCATATGTGGAGACGGGTGATGAAGTGGTTGTGAAAAGGGTGAAAAATGTTTGTGTTTCAGAAAAGGAGTATACAGATAGAATTGAAGTATTAGGGGCTATGGAACATGAGAATTTGGTGCCTGTTAGAGGATACTTTTATGGCAAAGAGGAGAAGCTTATTATATTTGAGTCCATGCCAATGGGAAGCTTGCATTCTATTTTACATGGTAAGCCTTTCAATCTGTATTTTCTGCTTTCAGTATATATCTTTTCTCTCTATTGGTATTTTAGTCCTTTCAATTCTTCAGCTAAAGTTAGCCATTAATTGCTGACAATCTTGTTTTTACACTAGTTGATAGCTGGACTTAGTTTAATAAGCACCTCCACTCTTCTTTGCCTGTCATTTGGTGTTTTTCCTTATGAACTCTTGGTGATTTTCTGCATTTATTGATTGTCAAAGCATAGGAATGATGCACTTATGTCCTGTCTTGTCTTCCTAAAGTTCCAGTTTTGTTTCTGCAAGCTGAATTTTACATATAATCTGCAGCATTTAGTTGTTCACTCTGTTTACTTTGTTCTGTGGTAGGATGCTTGTTTGGAGGTCCGATAATTATAGCATATCTACTGATCTTAATGTTAACCTAGTTTTCTAACCAAAAAATTTCAGACTCGGGTCTGGTTTTATCATACATTGGAAAAAGGTAAGACATGATAATTCAAATTTCTCTACCAATTCACTCTTGAGGGTTCAATTGTTGTCCTAGATTACATATCTGAATTTAAAAGAATACAATTCTAAAAAGCAGGTAGGCATACCGGCAAAACATCAAAAGATGTCATTTTAATGCAGATATCTATGGACATTCTTCGGCCAGACTGAATGACTTGGTTTCTTTCTCAATTCTCACCTTATAATTCTTGCTTTTCTGCAGAAAATAGAGGGTCAGACAGAGCAGCCTTGACTTGGGTGATTAGGTGTAGAATTGCATTTGGCACTGCCAGTGGTATAGAGTATCTTCATTCCCTCGGATCGAGCAGTAGCCATGGAAACATCAAGTCATCCAACATCTTCCTCAAGCAGTACTACGATGCCTGCGTTTCTGAGTATTGCATAACAAGATTGGTTTCCCCCATTCCTACTTCAGACCTGATTGGTTACAAAGCACCTGAGGTGGTTGATTCCCGCAAGGTCTCCCAGAAGGCTGATGTCTATAGTTTTGGTGTCTTACTTTTGGAATTATTAACTGGTAAACAACCTAGAAACGCCCTTCAGGAAGAAGGAATCGACCTCCCCAGATGGGTGAAATCAGTAGTTAAGGAAAGGTGGTCTATTGAAGTCTTTGATCCTGAGCTCCTCAGGCATCAGAACTTTGAAGAGCAAATGGTTCAGCTGTTAAATCTTGCGATTTCTTGCACTTCTCAGCACCCTGATAGGCGACCATCCATGCATGAAATTACTATGCAGATCAAAAATATTTCTGGACTTCCAGTTTCAGACTGAATTTATCATTAAGAATGTGGGATAGTCATCTTTTTCAGATTTTTTTTTCAATATTGCAGGGTGAAGGAGTCATGAGGCTCATCTAGATTTAGAAGTTACCATCTGCAATTAGCTTTTCTAGGCTTATTAATTTCTTTCTCCTATTCTTTAGGCAAATTCTTCATTTCCAGAGCATTCTTGAACCATCTGACCTCTTTGAAGATAAATCTAAGGCCTATTCCTCTTCACTGTTCTCCATTCTATGGATTTTCTTGTCGCTAGTTAGGGAACTTAATCTTGTTGTGTACATCCTTCCTGTTTTTCTGTATGGCCCTTGACGTCCAAAGCAGTCCAGGGAGATGGTGAGTTTCTCATAGATGTAAAAACCTCATTCAATTTTATTTTCTGTTCGAATTGCAGTATTATCATAGTTGCAGTTGCAGTATCATCATTGTTGCAAAGTATCCTTGTCTCTCCCTCTGCTTGTATGTGTATAAAAGACCCTTATTTTTTGTGAACTCAATAATCAGTTGCTTCTCTTTTTATTGGTAATAACTCCTTAATCAGATACATGTCTCCTGATTACTGGATTGGACAACATCTCCTGTCTGTTCTTTCTGATTGTTAAGTCCTTTTTCTTTGTCTCTTTCTCTGCTTTTTCTCTTCTTTCTAGAACTTTGCTACTTCCTTCTTCACTTGCTTTCACTTGATTTATGTTGCTCATCACTTAACCTTTTCATTGTCTTTGTGAATATCCTGTCATTCTCAACATGAAACTTTTCTACTACAGCATGCATAAATTAAATGGCAGAAATGCAGGGAATCTGTCTCCTCTTTTGCAGAAAATGGACATTGTTTGATTAAAATATAAGTATTTAAGTCCAGGGATGAGGCGGTGTTGCTTTTGATGTTAGCAAGAACTGTTCTTTCTTTCTTTTTTTTTCAACTAAATATTTTTCTTCCCTTAGGAAATAAAAAGATAAATCAACAAATTGTTGTCAGCATGGGTTATGAGACAACCATGGGCCCAATGTTTGGATACATTAGAGTGGTTCTATTGGACAAGAGTTGGCCCAAAAGTTTGATAGCTTCAGGTTCATTTACTTACAGTCCAAAGAACACGCTTCTATGCAAACGCTTGGCATAACTAATCAGAACCCAAATCCAATTTAATTTATATTTCAAACAGAAGATAAAGGAGTTGACCTCTACTCTTATACCTTAGTTGTTGGGTGTTTAACACATAATCAGAAGTTATTGAGTGAAATTCACGCCTAATAAAATACAAATTTTCTCATATTTTCCCAATGAAAATATTTAATGCTATCATTCTCTGGAATTTCTCTACAATTGCTGTCACAATCCCTGTGTGACACCTTCTTTCTTTAATGTGTTGAAAGTACTATCAGTACCAAACATTTTTCATACAAAACTGACAAAAAAAAAGTTCCATTTGATCATTTTCATATGCTCTCATAATACATATAATCCAAATTCTTACATATTCTTGCAGAAGCTGTTGAGTAATATCACCAGCTAAAATTTGTTTGGTTTCATTAATGGCAAGAAGGGCTGCTGACAAATTGGTTTTCTTGGGAGATGGTGTTGCAGAATATGAGTTAGGAGACTTGTTACATTCTAATGCTCAGGTGTTGGGAAGGTGGATTTTGGGACAACTTACAAGACCAAATTGGAGCTGAAGGGTATAAAGAAAACTGTGGCTGTGAAGAGGTTGAAGTTTGATAAATTACCTGAATTGAAATTTAGAGACAAGATTGAAGAGTTAGGAAAGATGGCTCGTGAAAATCTGCTTTCTGTCAGGGCTTATTCCTGTGCAGACAATGAAAGACTTCTTATCTATGATTATGTGTTTATGGGAAGCTTGGCTTCTTTCCTGCATGGTAACCCTTTTAAATCTGGTGCAACATTCCATTAATGCAGAATTTTCTTTTCGCTGTGCTTTGCTTGCTCTATCTTTTGCCTTTTTTGGCTTGCCGAAGTCAAATGCATAATTGTCCTTGGACTAGATGAATCTATCTTTAATAAATTCTACACGATGTTTATAAGTAGCACTGCTGATATTGTTACAGTGGCTGCTCTGTTCAACATGGTTTTGATTTCCTTTGGTCTATCTCTGGTGTTTTTGATTTATTCCATGCATTTGACTGAGAAGAAGGCTTTAGAAATATGTGCTTTTCGTGGCCTATGTTTTCAATTGATGTCTGCATCTTCTTAATTAAGCTGATGGCGGTCAAATTTGACAGGAAGAGGTAGATGAATGTTCAAACGGAATTTATTTTGTCATTATGAAGTGAAAAGTCAACTGGAACGTCCCGTATGATGAGCATGCTACATGGAAATTTAATTTACTTTGAATTAGTCCGGTGAAGTGAAAAGTCAACTGGAACGTCCTGTATGATGAGCATGCTACATGGAAATTTAATTTACTTTGAATTAGTCCGGCTCCCAATTTTGGCAATTAAAACATCTATGACATAAAACATGAATTTGAAGCTTGAAATTGTCTAATAGGTGTGTCCTCCAAAAACCACTTGGGAAAAATGCATTCCCTAGATGCGTTTTTCACCATTTGGGAAGAGACTCAAAAACCACCACCCTTTGGGAAGTTAGTTTAAAAACTCCCACTTTTTGGGAATTTACTCTCCAAAAACAAGATTTTGATGAAATGAGATCCAACATGTAAAAGCAAGATTAAAAATGAAGAATATCCATATTTTTTTTATGCTATTTCTGACCAATTGTGATTTTCATTAAAGAAGTTCAATATGATTCACTGTGATAATCATATTGTGAAATGAGGACTGCAGAAGCAATTCCTACTTTTCATTGACTTCAGACAACATAGACTTCCATTGCCATGAGTATACTAATTAACAAGGCAAAAAGTCTTTGGAAATTAAACTACTTTAATGCCATGTTTGTGATCATTTAAGGGTTATGGCACTGTGAAGCCTAATGACATTTTTTTCCTCTAATTTAGTTGACATCAGAAGCGTTAGACAAAAGCATATGTTATGCAAGTTCTTTCTGTTGCTTTTGTTCAGATACACTATCTGATTATGTAAGGGATGCATTTTTATATGCTTTCTGTTATGCTTCTCAGGAACTGGAGTTGCAGCTAAGACTCCCCTTAATTGGGAAGAAAGATGTACCATTGCTTATGGGGTTGCTCATGCATTTGCCTACATTCATGCGCGAGGATCTAATGTGTGTCATGGAAACTTAAGGTCCTCCAATGTTATGTTAACAGATTCTTTTGATGCCCGGTTTCTGACTTTTGCATAGATGAAATTATTCCCCCTAGCTGCAAAGCAAATCTGATAGAATGTTACCGTGCATCAGAGGTGATTAGCTTTGGCCTCCATGAAGTTTCTCAAAAGTCTGATGTGCGCAGCTTTGGAGTCCTACTGTTGGAGTTGCTCGCAGGCAAGGATCCTTTAGGTGTCCTTCCTCAAGGTTTAGACTTACCTAATTGGGTAAGGTCAATGTTTCTGGAAAAACCCATTAAGGATGTGTTTGATGCTTTGTTACAAGAATATGATTGCTTTGGGGAACAAATGGTTCAACTGTTACAACTTGCAGATTGCTGCACTTTCGAAGATCCTAGTAAAAGGGCTTCAATGCCTGCGGTTGCTAATCAAATTAAACACGTCTCTAGATTTGAATAAGGTCAGAGCAATCAATTATGGCCGCCATCTGATATGTTCTGCAATTTCTGTTGCAATTACAAATAAATCAAAATCGAACTGATTCAGAATTTAAGAATTTTTCGCCATACAATCCAAAAGTAAAAAGAAAATCTTCAATTCATGATGATTGATGATCGGTAAATGCATTTATCGTTGTTTCCCTTATCTAGAATCTTACACTACCATATATTTCTAGAGAAAGGTCTGTTCAGTACAGAAAGGCCCATTATGTTGTTTAAGCATAGTGAACTGTTCACCAAATGCAATTGCAATGATCTTATCTGTTTCTGAAACCCGATCAGCCAATACAATCGTTGGATTTTCAACTATGCACAAAACCATATAACTCCTGGCAACTTTCTGAGAGTTGTAATAATCAACTCACCTATTGTCAACAGACTCAACACTACTCTGAATAATCATTTGATGACATCCAAAAGAGAGAATATTTTGAAGTCTGTTGCAGGTTTTCTTCCAATTTTGTGCGCCGCTTGCATGATGAATGATCTGATTATTAGATAATAATGTAAAATGAACATATTTTAAAGGTAATGAACGATTCTGAGCTCTGGGCTTTCTTGCACAATATTAAAATTGTTAATAGAGAACTATCCTGTGTCCACATGTGGTTAACGTATCCACGCTGCTGCCTTAAATGAAGAAGCTGACTCTGATTTCTTTACTAACCTCGGGCAGCTTTGTGTATTGTACATAAACAGGAGGCGACTAAGTCCAAGTCAAGCATAACAGCACAAGGAACAAGCTCGACAGTTGTATTCACATCGCACTGGGGAATTTCTCTATAATTGCAGTTTCTTTATTCATTACTGTCCCAATCCATCTGTGAATGCTCATTTCAGCTTAAAGGAAAAGCAACCAGGATCCAATAAGTAGAAGTCAAGATTTCCCAATAATCATTTTCATATCCTCCTCCATCCAAACTCCCCCCCCCCCTTTCAAGTTTATCCAATATCTTCCTTACTGCTTGTTATCACACTTGTTCAATATATCTTGTTGTGCCGAAATGGCATTGAGTGCTGATATTTCTGGTGTCAAGTTGGTGTTTTTGGGAAATGTTGTTGGAGAGTATGAACTTGAAGACTTGTTGCATTCTGATTTTAGTATGTTGGGCAAGGGAACTTTAGGGATGTCTTACAAAGCAAGATTGGAGTTGGAGGACGAATATACTCTGGCTGTGAAGAGAGTGAACGTTGGTAGATTGTCTGAAATGGAATTTAAAGAGAAGATTGAAGAATTAGGCAAAATGGATCATGAAAATTTGCTACCTATCAGGGCATATTGTTGCATTCAAGAGAAAAGAATACTTGTCTATGATTATATTCATATGGGAAGCTTAGCTTATCTCTTGCATGGTAAGCCTTCCAATGTTTCTTCTTTCTTCATCTGATAGTATCTGCTCATAAAATTTCTTGAACTTCTTGTTCTCTGCCCAAATTGAGTATTGAGAGTTTTGTTTCCTTTTGATTATTTTGGTCTGATTTCCTGTTTAGCCCCAGGTACATATATGCATTCCTAACATTTTACTGGAAAGAAGAGCAAAATTCTGTGGCATTTTGTTAGCTACTATTTTGATAAGTTCCTTTATCATCTGAATTCGTCTTTTCTGAGTAGCATTTAGGAGAGATCAGAGAAAGCGAGTGCGAGAAGCCTTGTTAGCAAATAATATAAGAGAACTGCTTTTGCTGTAAGTAACTGGAAAATCATCTGATGAATCCTGGATCTTGATTGGAAATACTTAATATTCCATCTCAAAGTCACTGATTTAAAGAACTCAGAGCCTATTAGTTTCTTACTGCAGCTACCTTACTTCTACGTACAAGTGTATGGGTACTGGCTTAGAATGGTCTAATGTGAACAAGTAACAGACTACATCGATGAGACATATTCTTTAAGATAAAATGGAGTGGCCGGTCTTCCTTTTCTTCTAGTTGTAGCAACAAATTGGAACTCTCAGAAAGAAATTTTATATCTCGAACCCAGTTTTATTAAGATATGTCAATGGAGACTGGCGAAGCATTCTTGTTTATCACAGAATAGGGACAAAATAGGTCATGTATATTGACTTTATCCAAAAATATGTGCCGAAAGAAAGTAAAGAAATGATAAGGGAAGTAATAACCTCTGAGTTAAAAAATTCCTTCTCTGATGTCTGTCTGTTCCCACTTAACACTATGAAGTCCAAAGGTGATCTGAGAGAGACGCCTATTCCTAAAGTACTAAACAAATTTATGCGCCCGAAGTCTATTCTGTTTTAGTCCTTTGTACTTTAGTTTGAAATATATTTTTTTTCATCCCAATGTGTCTGTTTTTAGTTCCAAATCCCTCTTTGTCATAATTGTATTTTGGAGCCAGTTGGAGGTTTGTCAAGATTGGACTAGCTTAAAGCAAGTTAAATTTACCAGTTATCCATAGAGAAAGGTTTTCATTTCAATATATGTAATGGAATGACCTTTGCAAAATTTATGCTCTTCTATCATCTCTCCTTTTACATTTCTCCTGTCACTGGAAGTCTGGAATGACAAGTTTTTTTATGTCTACGAACACGGACGTGTAGTTTCTGAGTTGCTTACTCTTTTGGTTCCTAGGAAATGGAGACGCAAATAAGACTCCCCTGAATTGGGACATGAGGTGCAGGATTGCTTATGGAATCGCTCGCGGTATTGCCTACATCCATACACAAGGATCTAACATTTGCCATGGAAACTTAAGGTCATCCAATGTGTTCTTTAACAGCCCTTTCGATGTCCGAGTTTCTGAGTTTGGCTTAGCTCAACTTGTTCCCGTAGAATCCAAACTGATCCTAAATGAAGGGTATAGAGCACCAGAGGTGACTAGCAACCATGAAGTTTCTCAGAAGTCTGATGTCTATAGTTTTGGAGTCCTGCTCCTGGAATTGCTCACTGGCAAGGCCCCCCTGCGTGCTGTTCGCGAACTAGAAGGGATAGACCTAGTTAAGTGGGTAAGGCTGATGTTTCAGGAAAAACCCATTCTTGATGTTTTTGATGATGATCTGGTGCTAAACTACGGGAGCGATGAGGAACAAATGGTTCAGTTGTTACAACTTGCGGTTTGCTGTACTTTCCAGAATCCTAGTAAAAGGCCTTCAATGGCTGCCGCGGCTAATCGAATTGAAGAAATCTGCAGAATTAAGTAAGATACAGCCATGATCAGTCAGTCGTAGCTGCAATCAAATATGTAACTTGATCTTACTTGCTATTTGCCAATCACTTGAAACTCCAAAAGTGATGCCTGATACGAAGCTAAGATAACATGAAACTGATCAACGCATTGTCAAATTTATGGTCAATTATGGAGATCAACCTCTCAGCTTCGCAGCTTTATGTCTCTTCCCCTATTCTTGAATCATGCAAAAACATTCTCTCAAACCAATCAGGACAACATTCTTTTGTTCCTTCACCTGTGATTATATTTGTTTGAGAACATTAAAAAGTTGTGGAAAGAAATTACAAGAAAAATATGTAGGGGACGAAAATTGGGGGGCAGTGCAAGAGCATTGGCATCATGGAATAAATTCAAGATTACCCCATAAAAGAATTCGAAATATTGAGCTAACAAAATTGTTGTGGTATATTTAAAGGTGTCAAAATGGATGACTTGGGCGGGTTTGGGTTGGGTAAAATGGGTAATGGGTATAAATGAGTCAACCCATTTATACGCATTTAATTAGATGGATATAAATGGGTAAGTCAAAAAATAAATTGAGTAATCCAGTTACCCATTTATAACCCATTTATTTTAACTTTTGTAAACTCATTTAAATTCATTTTTGCAAACTAAGTTATCAATTTATACTACTTTTTGCACCCATCATTAGTTTTAAATATTTACTTATGATGTTCAATAAGCCTAATTATCAATTTTTTTCCTATCCGTACTCTATGTCGCAAAATTAAATACTATTTAATAATTGAATAATAAAAATTTAAAAATTTAAATTAAGTACTATAAAAATTAACATAAAAACTTAATCCAAAAATTTTGAACCCCTAATTTTTTTTCATGTGTAAATTTAAAATTTCATTTTGAAAATGTAGGAAAAGAGGCTAAAACTTTATCATAAATTGGTAATGCTAAAAAATGAGTAAGTTAACAAATTAAGAGAAAATAAAATAATAAAATAAAAACAACAAATAACAATAATAATGAAACAAAAGTAGTTAATATCATAACAAAATGAAAAATCTGAAAAAAAAAATGGGCGGGAGAAGAGAGGAGATTTGGGGGAAAATAATTCTAAATGGGCTAATTGGGTTTGATAGATTACCCAATAATAACCATTTAATAAATGGATATTATTGGATAACTCATTTATACCCATATTGGGTTACCCAATAATACCCATTTAATAAATGGATATTATTGGATAACCCATTTATACCCATATGGAAAAACTTAAGATACCCATACCCATCTATTCATGGGCGGATATGGGTAAATTTAATTAAATAGGTTGATTTGCCACCTATAGGTCTATTAAAGATTTTCTTTATTATCAAATCATAATTGGAACAGAAAAGGCGGCATTTGTGTACCAAAAATGATCACTGAAACCAACAAGCAATTCACTAACTTCGTCCACTAATGCCCATGAAATGTCCGAATATTTGCTCACTAGTTTCCATATCTTGTAACAAGTCAAAGACAACGTTAACGTAATGGCAATGCGTAGAAATTTAGCATCTAATGCTTATTTGGGTTAGGTTGACTTGAGTTTTTTTCTAGTAATACGTCAAAGACTTTGTGCCAAGTACCCTAACTTTCTTTGCTGCAGGTCCATTATACAGATTATAATAAAGGGTCAATATCACACATATGTTGAACTTTTCTGTTTATCTGCAAACTTCTAAGAGATAATCTGGACAATATTTGCACTGCAATTTTCTGGAACATTCAATGATTTGACAAGCACTTTTCCTCTCCTCTTTGTAGTTGAATGAGTCTAATATTTACATTTATCACAAACATTGATGCTCTTGTAGAATGGAAAATCATAACAAACCTGGTGTGGGATTTTGGGCTCAACTGAATATTTTCAACAAAAATATCCCCATAAAAATCTTTTACAGTTAATTACTTCATGCAGTAAAATTTAGGGTAGCTGCTATATATTATTTTACTTTCCTAGTAATTTTTATTTCTTTATATAAACTACACGTGCAGTAGGGTAGCCCTGAGAAATCCATTGAAGTTTATCGAATTCTAACCATTAGTTAGTTTTACCACCACGTTATTTCAATATTTCCCCCCCAGAAAAACCCAAAACCACCATAAACTATATCAACCAATACATTGATTACAAAGCAGATGAACTGTTGCTATTTATATATAAAAAAAAAATGTTGCTGATTTTCTCTGTCTTTTCTTCGTTGACTTCTCATGATTAACGAAGAATAAAAGCATAAATGAAAACTGCAAACAAGGGGAAATAGTATATACCTTTCTCTGAAAACACACAGGAACATAATTACTGATGTTGGATGCATCAGTCTCTAACCATTTTCTGAACCTAACTGCCTTTTGTCTTTTTGGATATTTTTTACTATGTTTGATTAGATATCGATATAATGAGTCTCTGAAGATCAGGAAAAGAGATTTTGATAAAATATTGCAGCAGCCAGAAATGGTTTATCAGAATCAGAACCCAAGTGCTGGGAGTAAGCTGGTTTTCTTTGGGAATGGAGATGGTGGCCATTCAGTAAAAGAGCTGATGCATTCAGCGTCCAAGGTCTTATGGAAGGGAACTTTTGGAACCAGTTTCAAGACAGAATTGAAGGGTGGAAATGCTGTGATGGTCAAAAGGTTAAAGGGTAGTTGTTCTTCTGAGACAGAATTCAGGGAGAGAGTTCTAGAGATTGGAATTTTGCTTCATGAAAATCTGCTTCCACTCAGAGCATATTGCTGTTATCAGAATGAAAATTTTCTTGTGTATGACTGTATGCGTATGGGAAGCCTGGCAAAGCATTTGCACGGTCAGTTCTCTTATCTTACACTTGCTTATGCAGTTTAGATTACATTTTTCCGTCCTTTCCTGTTCCAAAAAAAAAAAAAGTTGTGTGAGGAGAGGTTTTTCAGATAAAGGTTCGATTCTATTCTGAGCACCTGATACAGGAATTAAAGTTGTTTGCATAATCACAGAAGTTACATGTGTAGTGTAACTCTTGGTTTCGACTCAGCAGTACTGATGGAAAATTCAGGATTCTGTCCCCAGGAACCCGCATGATCTTAATAGGATGGAAAATTCTGTTATGAATTCATGATTAATAACCTGTTTGAGTTGCTTAAGCCTAAGAACACACAGATACACACGCACATGTACACACACCGGGACAAACATTCTCTGAATAAAGAACTAGAAGCCAGATGTCTACCATTTTAGACTGTATACCAAGAACCAACTCCTCCAATGTTGTTTTGCAATGCCATCTGGGCTGCTCCTCAACTAACCAAAACTAACCAACGTTGTTTCCAAATTGCACAATACATCTCCAGTTAAAAAACAGCCCAATCCTGGTCAAGCTGCTCCGCCTGCTTTCACAAAACTCGTATTCCATTTTTTCTGCACTCTGTTTCAGGACTTTGCAGAACGGCTTATTTCCTTTGATACAATTTGTTCATCTGTCAGCACATTTAGCAGTTGTCAAGTTTACTTAAATTCTAGCTATTTGCTCTTCAATCAACTACTTTGCAGTAGAGCAGGTGCATCGGAGATGTCAAGGACTAATATGATGCTCTTTCTATAGATAACTTGTGGCCATTTTCCACAGATAGCAAACACTTAAAAAGTATAGTTTTTAAATTTCTTACACCAATAAAAGAAGATGAACCTGAGCATAAAGATCTAGAATAGGTTTTCTGTGGTTTGTTTATTTTATTCTTTTTTTCATGAAGATAAGCTCTGAAATCTTACAAAGGACTACACATAGTTTGTCAGTTGACTAGAAATTTCCAAACGTTTAACATGTGAACACTATATTTATTTTCTTCTATGAAGAAGACCAAATTGGGCAGATATCAGTTTTCAGCGTCATTAATTTACTATGAATCTTCACATAACAATTTGTTGACATGTTTATAGGATCTATATCAACACTTGGAAATTAAGATGCAGGGATTTGTATCCTGAATTAAGTAAAACTCCCAGTTTTTTCACATTAAAAATTGCTTCGCCTCTAGCTGATATGCATTTTTAAGAAGACTTTACCTTTAATCTAATAAAAATCTCAACTAATTCTGTGTTGTTCAAGCTTGAAATTCAACCCTGATATGAGCCTACTTTCTGACATGTTCTAGTAGCAATTTAAAAAGGAAGGATCAAAACTGTATCTACTAAAAATTTACCAGCTTAAGGGTTAAGGAATGACACATTTAGTGAAGAAGATGAACAATAAAGAACTATAAATATTAGGGTTAAATACCAAAAATCCCCCTGTGGTTTGACTAATATTCACTTTACCTCTCTATAGTTTGAAAACCTACAATTTGACTATCCGTCATTTCAACTAAAGTAAAAGTCTGACGGAAAACATCTAAACTAACGTCGGAAAGGAAAATGTCAAAATTACCCCTCTATAAGTCAAACCCTTGGAAGAATATTTCGTGCATTTGAGAATGGGTAAAATACCAAAACCCCCCTGTGGTTTGTTAAATGTACACTTTACCTCCCTATGGTTTGAAAACTTACAATTTAATTTCCTGTCATTTCACTTAAAGTGAAAGTATGATAGAAATACCGTTAAAAAACTAGTATTATACAAACTTTCTAAAAACTTGGGGTTCCAAACAAGCCCACCGTTATTGTAGATGTTTTCTGTTAGACTTTCACTTTAGTTAAAATGACAAGGAGTTAAATTGTAGGTTTCCAAATCATAGGGAGGTAAAGTGAACATTAGTCAAACCACGGTGGGTTTTTGGCATTTAACCCTAAATATTAAGGATTAGAGGTTCCCATTCACCAGTCACATGAGTTGCTAGAGTTGCTCAACAGCATCTTAAATACCAATAGGCGGAGATAAATAATTAAGAAGCAGCAAAGTATTATCCTAAACATTCACCTTCTAATAGATTGTTTGCTCTAACTCAGTATTTGCTAAAAACCATGGAGTCAACTTCATCTCAAGGGTTGAACAAGTTGTTGGTGCTTGTGTGGATTCCTGTTTAGTGATTTCGTCTCCTTGACTTCTCCAGCATAATCTTATATGCTTTGAAGGCAACAAGCTCGGAGTCAATTTAACACATTGACAGGAGTTAATACCTTGCCTTTATAGCCATGATTGTATATCTGCTGCTGTTTCTCGGTTTTATGTCCAATTCCAATTAGAGTAGCTTAGTGCATTTGCTGTTTGCCTTCACATTATTCTGGTCTAAATTCATCATATGAC